AATTTTAGTCAGACGCTTTAACAGCATCAACAAACGCAGTATGCAGATTTGTTAGCGCTCTAAAAATGAGCACAGAACAGCTTTCGGAATTGAAATTTATGCATTTTTGGCTTAATTATGATGGTCGGAAAACACTGTTTAACTAAAAAAATTGCCTGTTTTTATACCATTTTGCCGGGTATTGGTATAAATCAGAAGCTTATAACTCAGTGAAGGAATCATTTCCGACCCTATTAATCATATATATTCTTGATCAGTATGAAGAGCTGAATCGATCTATCCATGTTCGAGCAAAAAATAAATTTTTAAAATTGGTCTCAAAATTTGAAAAAACGATAAGGGGTTACATCATTAAAATTGCCAAAATTCGGCCAAAAATCGAATTTTTTATATTTAAAAACGAAGTATGCAGATTTGTTAGCGCTCTAAAAATGAGCACAGAACAGCTTTCCAAATTGAAATTAAGGCATTTTTGGCTTAATTATGATGTTTGGAAGCACTGATTAACTTAAAAAAATTGCCTGTTTTTATACCACTTTGCAGGAAATTTTAATTTTAGTCAGACGCTTTAACAGCATCAACAAACGCAGTATGCAGATTTGTTAGCGCTCTAAAAGTGAGCACATAACAGTTTTCCGAATTGAAATTAAGGCATTTTTGGCTTAATTATGATGTTTGAAAAACACTGTTTAATTAAAAAAATTGCCTGTTTTTATACCATTTTGCCGGGTATTGGTATAAATCAGAAGCTTATAACTCAGTGAAGAAATCATTTCCGACCCTATTAATAATATATATTCTTGATCAGAATGAAGAGCTGAATCGATCTAGCCATGTTCGGGCAAAAAATAAATTTTTAAAATTGGTCTCAAAATTTGAAAAAACGATAAGGGGTTACATCATTAAAATTGCCAAAATTCGGCAAAAAATCGAATTTTTTAAATTTAAAAACGAAGTATGCAGATTTGTTAGCGCTCTAAAAATGAGCACAGAACAGCTTTCCGAATTGAAATTAAGGCATTTTTGGCTTAATTATGATGTTTGGAAGCACTGATTAACTAAAAACATTGCCAATTTTTGTCAATTTTTGACTTAGTTATAAGTTTTTCAAGTTCCTAGCTTTTGATAAGGTATCGTGTGTCTCCTCCACATTTATTTTACTTACCTTTGACCTCTCTTTACATTTCCCCAATAATCTGAAAAGGTTTCCTTCCTCCCTTCCCAATTTAAAACTCCTCTTTTCCATTTGCATAGCTTTCGCTTCATTTATTTGCAATCTTGGTTCTCATTCTTGGATTTGTATTTACACATTTCGATAAATCGCTTTCATTTCGCAATACATAATACAATTCAACAAGTACTATCGACTACGATCGGTTATCATCCTTCTTCGATTTGGCAGGAGAAGTTGGTCGCGATGTGTCCATGGTTCGGTTTGCGGCAAGAGGTCGGTCTCATGATTCATATCCATTGACTTAGTGTTAGTCCAGCGGCGGTTATAAAAATAAAATATTTATAATATAATTTAATATTTGGTTATTGTTTTCTGATTATTTTCTCTTAATTAGTATACTTTTTGGGTTCCTAATTTAGAACCCAAACTAATTAATTGGCACTGCAAACTTTGGCTATACTTTCACCTTTACCCGCTCCTCCTGAAAATCCCCCCAAGAATCAGAGTGATTTATTACCTTTGTAAACTTTGTCAATGATCGAAATGAAACTTGGTGGGCCTGACTCATTAATTGGCTAGTTTTTTTGGGGTGACAACATATCGCCACCTGTGCCCGATAATCTCTGACAGCCGGCCGACGACTCACTGCTTCCTGTCCAACCCACACACTGGCAGTGCCCCTAATCTTGGACTGGGGTACTGGTAGTAGTAGTTGGAGGAGCAGCAGAAGGTGGAGGAGGAGTAGGTGCCCTCACGTGCTACTCTCCTACTGGACATAGTTGTCCCATTATGTTTGAAGAGCGGCAAGGCAATCAAACAATTTAATCATGCCCCGACTATCGGCAATTGCCACACAAGTGAGGCGACGATGAGAATCACGTGATGCCGTGGCCATGTGCGTCGTCGTTGTAGATACTCCTCCTCCTCCTCCTCCACCACCTCCACCTCGGACGATGTCCGACTTTGGCCCATGCAGCCATATCTTATCGCGCCAGTTGCAGTCGAAAGGCAGCGACACAAGGGGCATTAATCCAAATTAAAGCAAAGCATCGTTAAAGTATACCAGCGAACCCCCAGGCAAGGTTACAAATTTCTCAATATAATTTATATGACTTTTCGAATAATTTCCCCTCGTTCCTCATAGCAACTATGTAGCTGTCAATCAAGGTGTTTTATAAAAAATTCCTTCTTTTTGGCCAACAAAACTATCATCGTTCGTACGTGCCTGATAACGTAGACTCGGCATTACGACCTGTGTCAATATATTTACGATTATTTGATGACAAACGCTAATTGGCCTTAATTAGCACACTATTACTTAGTTATTAGGCTCTAAACAGTCGCGCTGATTCGTTAAAATGCTTCTATATAATAGCACTCAAAGATTAGCATATAAAACCGACAAAAAAGTCTTAAGTGGTTCTGATTAATCAAATATTTTTATGACCTGCCGCATGGCATTTATTGTTTATAAATTTTAATGAAGGCAGAAAAGAAATGTGTGAGTGAGGAAATGAATAAATATTAATCTTGAGGAAACATTCTTGGAATTTCTAATGAAAGACCGGGGAGGAATTTGAATGAATATTTTTACTATTAGGTGAATGTTTAAATATAAAGCAATGATTTATATTAAAATATGTATTATTCTTTGCAAACTTGAGCTTGTTGTGCAATCTTCTTTGAAAGCCTTTTAATGTATATAAATTTAAATAAGTTAATAATGAAAGGTTACAAATTCTAACAAATATAATATAGACCCCCTCTAAATGATATTCAAATTCATTCAATAAACGACACTTTAACTTGAAAATATTCCCAATTTAAAGTCCATGACGTGTAAAACTACGTTCTCTGAAATTCAAAAGAATTTTTTTTTTGGCTGGCGTTTTGACTTCCACTCTTATTTGTTATACAATATTTGTGCATGTGATAATGATAATGGCAGCAAACAAGGTTCGATTTTCGTTTACTTTGCATTTTGGCGGCATGAAAGTACGTCAATCGATGGCGCCAGCTCTTGCATATCGAGTTCTGGAAATATATTCAGTCATATAGATTCGCCAAGTTAAAGCCACTCGATTTTGTGGCAATCAGCTTTGGACTTTTGAATTCCAGACCCCCTTTCCACATGACACTCTCTCTTTCAGAATATATACTGTGTGTGTGCATAAGCGAGGCAGTGCAGTCGGTGGCTTATCGAATGAGTAAATATTAATTCTGATTATAAATTCGCCACATCCGGCAGTGATTGGTTCAGAAATATTTAAAATCGAACTGAAACGCATCGGAGAGGAGGGCAAGGCGGGGCATTTAATTGCGTTCTTCGTTCTTCCAATCAATTACATAGAGACCCCACCGATGCCGATCCGGAGCAGTGTCCGGTGGCATCCATTCAGGGACTATCAGCTCGTCCACCACATATTATACATATATGTATATGTATTCGTATATTCCGTCGCAGAGGCATCGGTTCTCTCGCATTAACCCAGCCGGGTCGTTAATGGAATCAAATCAGTGGGGAACGAGCCCCGCGAACGAATCGCGTCAGAGTCAGAGTCACACGACATATCGCCACCACACATCCTCATCATCATCATCATCATCATCATGAATCCCCTCTAGCCACACCCCTTCCTCGCCAGCATTTCATTCATTTTTTGATGTCTCAAAGACGCAGCATATACACAATTTATGAAATAGTTGTAGTAGAAAGACCCCAATAAAAATATCAGACACATAAGGTCTGAGAGGGGGAGAGAGGGTGTGTGTGGTGTGGTGTGTTGTCTCGGGGATTTTATACCCTTGCAAGAGTATTATAGTTTCAGTCAGAAGCTTGTAACTTTTAAAAGAATCATTTCCGACCCTATTAATCATATATATTCTGGATCAGAATGAAGAGCTGAATCAATCTAGCCATGTTCGGGCAAAAAATAAATTTTTAAAATTGGTCTCAAAATTTGAAAAAACGATAAGGGGTTACATCATTAAAATTTCCAAAATTCGACCAAAAATCTAATTTTTTAAATTTTAAAACGAAGTATGCAGATTTGTTAACCTAATAAAAACTGGGACGGGAAAGCTTTCCAAATTGAAATTTGTAAGTTTTTGACTAAGTTATGGCAACTTTAGATTTTAATTTGTCGGAAAAAATATATACAAATATTGATATATTTTTGTGTTAAGATATAAACATTTCAGGCCTTCTTTTATAAGTTCTGTACTAATTATTCCTCATTCGCCATGTTGTCTTTATCAGTACAACGTGTCGTATGATTAATGTCAGTCTGCAAGGGTATATAAAGCTCGGCATACCGAAGTTAGTTTCCATTCTCATTTTCTTTCATTTTTATTTTACTGAATGAACTTTGTTGGTTTGGCCAAAACCAACCACACACGGTTCCAACTAGTTATATCTGAAGCGACTCCATGGATCACATTCGGAAGTTCATTCAGATCCAATCTAGAGTATTTAGTGGCTTCTTCCATTGGAGAACAAGTTTCGTTGGGTGGCATTGGCATACAGAGCCAGATACAGATACAGATAGAGATCTCTCTTTTTGTAGATTGGAGCAACTACTACGCATTGCTCGAGGCACTTAGTATAGTATGTCGCCATGTGTGATAATCTCTTCGGCGATGTCAGGTTATCAGTGGCGTGGCGAGTGGGCCGGACCTCGTCTATTAAGGCGGGCATTTCCACTGCGTAGATCTCAGCCTGCCCCACATTCACATGTGTCGCGTCTGACAATGTTTCTTTAGAACGCCCAAAGAATACTTACTTATGAGTTATGCTTTCTTTCTCTCCCTCGGTCCCCTAGGTCACATCGCCTTCAGCGCCTTGGATGACACCTCGCATTCGGTGCATGTTTATAGCATCAATGGCTGCAGTCTGGGCTCCAAATATGTGTCCGGCCGGGTCACGGGTTTGGCCAGTGCCTCGGACTACCTGGTGGTGGCCGATGATGCCGGCGACATAACCATGAGCAGGTTACATGGGTAAGATCGTAATTAATATTCATAATTTAATTTGATGAATTAAATATTTACCCTTCTTTTGGCAGGCTGAAGCCCGTTTTTGACATTCCGCTGCATGTGCCCATCCAGACGGTGGTGGTGACTCCGGGCAACACTCACATCCTGGCGCCGCTCCGGGATGGTCGTCTGGCCGTGATTGCCGTGCAGCTGCCATCCGGCGGCAACAAGAAGCATTCCGTGCTCAATGTTTAGACGAGTTCAGGAGCTGGACTTTCCGAATTTTAAAACCCAAGTCACTTCTACCTAGCCTAACATAAGTAGTCCCCCTCAGCTAGATTTAATTTATGTCTTGTGATTTGTCATGATTTCTATATATATTTTTTGTCTTCGTTTCTTGTCTTGTTTCCCACACTACGTGACGTGCCAAAAGCAAAGCCTTTGACCAACATACTATATATACATATTTCCCCGAAAGTCTTGTGACAAAGTGTGTCTATATAGAGAAAGATATTCCATGAGCACGCCGATCGATTGCATTCCCAGAATTTTCATTGCCAACTGAGCAGTATTTCCCAGACAACCGGAATACACCTGACATTATGTTGGAGGTGGAGGAGGAGGAGGAGGAGGAGGCCATGAATCCTGGGCTCCCCCACAGAAGATTGATGGCACACTTGTCTTCGATTGACGAACATCTGAGTAATGTAAATCATCCGTCATTCAAAAGCAAAGGCGAGGTGATATCTCTGGTTAGGGGTTTTGGAGACGGAACCGGAGCGTGGCGGTGCAAACTGGTTGCCGACGCACTCTTGGCAAACTGCTCACTGACTCACGAGCGACTTTCAAATTGGCCCAAACATAAAAAAAACCACAAAAAAAGCAGCAAAAAAGTCTGCCTGGCAACAGCGGCAAGGCACTTAATGCCAACGGCAACGTGAGATCTTGGCGGATCTCGACGGCATCCAGCTGCTCAAGAGTAATCAAGAGAAACACTTTCGATGCCACCTCCATCTCCGCCAGCTCCTCCTCCTCCTCCTCCTCCTGCTGCTGCTGCTGCTGCAGACACAACCAAAATAGAGTCCCGAGATCTTTGTCCCATTAAGTGCGCAGACACACACTCTGGTTAGATCACATGGTGGTGTTTCCAACTCATTAACATAGAGCCATTTCCAATTGAAAGTATTATCAGCACACAATTAGAGTCCGTCCACACACACTCAGCACACACACACTCGATGACAAAGCAAGAAGAATTCTTCCTAGGTCTTCAAATTTCCCAATCTTCAGAATCTGAATTTCCAAAGACAAGCGACAATATCAAATGGTGAATTGATGATATATATTTTTGACTCGCACTTCGCCTATATGGTTATATAGAGTAGGGATGTAGAGGAACCTCGCTTTTGAATACACACAGCGCACAATCCAGACTATCCTCCTTTTTTTGAACGAAGCAATCTATCCAATATCTTACTCACCAGCAATATAAATAAATTAGTCTATATATCATCAATGTACGTAAAAGAGTCCCCGATCGAGTTCGTTATTTGTTGTTAAGATTGTAATGTATTGCGCGTATTTATCGTAAAATGTTTTTCGCCGTTCAATGTACGTAACTGTACGAGTTTATGTAGATAATGTGACTATCTGTAGTTTATAGATCTGATATATATATAATAAAGTAAAGACGTGAAAACACAATGATGGTTTGTATTATTTCCCCGCCATTAAGTAAGTCTCTTGCGATCTTTTCTTATATTTATTCAAAGTATAATGATTAAGAACTAAAGAAAACCATATGTCAGTTCGATTAGCTTACTTAAGAAATGTAAAATATAGTGTTTGGGGGTAGCGCTTATGAAACTGATTAATTCCTTGAATACTTCTCCGTGATTCTGGATGTGGGGTTTGCGATGCCTTTGATGAATTTTTTGTGGTCGATCAATAAATTAATTGTAGAAATGACTGGAGGGGGTGCAGAATAAATATGTAAAATACGAATTGGGTGATATTGACTGATTGATTGATTGTGGTTCGAGTTTGGTTACAAGTCCAACGCTTGCTTAAGTAAAACGGCCAATTGGTTTAAATACGTTAACTAGAGCTCGCCTGAATCGCTAGGAACAATCAATTGCTACTTAAGGTTAAAACTATATAATTGAAGAAGAAACCATTATAAAGTAGAGATAATTCGAATGCGATACGTGTGGTGACTGCTATTCGAGGTTAATTGTTACGAGTTAAGATTACGAATGTTTAGTGTCTAAGCCGGCATTAGATACGGATAATTAATTACCTGGATTACCAACTAAATGGATCTTAAATTTAAATTGTACATGTAAATCGTATGACCCTTCTCTCTCTCTCTATTACCATTCTTACATATTTTTTTTGGGATTTTTCTAAGCATGTTTTTCTTTTCCTTTCCGCGCATCTTCGAAGGCATTTGATCTATCTAACTAACTAGATGAATTATTCCCGTCGTCAATCCAATAGCCTTTGTATCTTTGTTTCTTTGTGGTGGGATCTTTAGTCTTGCTCCTTCTGCAAGGATAAAGCAAAGGGAAGAAACAGGATTTAGTTTATGCAAGGATTAAGTTTCCTGAGGGGAATACTTACAAGTACGGGATACACGAAGGTATCGGCGGTATCAAAGCCAACGGCATTGCGGGCCACGCACTTGTAGTTGCCCATATCCTCCCACTTGATGTCAGCGATCATCAGCTGTCCCGTGGGCAGGACCTTGAACCGATGTCCTCCCACAATCTCCTTGTTCTCATTGTTGAACCAAGTGACCTCGGCCCTTGGGACAGCATGCGCCTGGCAGGGCAGCAGGATATTGGAGCCCATCAGATCCAGATGCGTCTTCTCCGTGTAGGTGATGCGCGGCTTCTGGGCACCCGGATATGTCTTCTCGGCCACATGCCTCGAGGAGCGGGGTGGATGCACCACAGTGCTGGCAAAGATGGTCTTGGAGCCGGAGCGACCCACACAGGTGTAGGTGCGGGCTTCGCTCAGCGGATGATCAATGATGTGCACGGAACGCACACGAACGATGGCACTGGGAGCATCCTCGGACAACTGATTGGATTCCAGGTCTTCGAGCTAAGAGGAATTGGGGGGGGGAAATCAGAGCAGGTTCTACGGGAGTCAAGGCCTTGAGATAGACTTACCTCTGAGCGTGGCAGATGACCCACAACCCACTGAATGCTGGGCACCTGGGAGCCCATCATTTCGCACACAATCTCAACGGTGGCTCCCTCCGCCTGCAGCATCTTCGTGGGCGGCGTCTTGGTGAACTTGAGCCAATCGGCATCAAAAGCTCGATTGCGGGGCTTCTCCTCCTGCACCGGCTCCGCTTCCGTCTCAATGGAGTTGTCCACATCGTTGCTGTCGTCCACAATGTCCACGGCCCTGCCGTGGACTCTGGCGATGCTGCCGAACAGCAGCAGCGCTAAGGCGCACACATGTAAATTCATTTTCTGGAAAAGTGATCAAAGATCGGAAATGAGTTCGAAGTTCAGAGCACGAGTCATACGACACTCTAATATAGGTTAATAAACTTTATAGTCACGGCTTTCCGCCAGTCATCTTCACTTATCACCGATCACTTGTGCCCCCGGGCATAGCTATAAATCACTGGGAGGTCTCTCCTCCATGAGTGTCTCTCTATCTCCCGTCCCGTTCCCGATAAGCGGAGACCTTCACTCGCTCGGCAGAGCTCTAGAAGATTACCCACACTTGCGAAATGGGGAACATCCGAAGCGGAATCCTTCGTACAACCGAGAGCTCTCTTACGAATTTCACAATGCCACGACGCCAAAAAATAATGAATATAAGAATGATATAAGAGGAATCTGGCGTGGGCAGATATGCCCGAAGATACTAGATAATGTGTCGTGAAATCGAAATTGGAATGACATCGTTTGTGACGTCAATTTCTTGGGATCTCGGACTCGATTCACCCACGCTGTGGCTACAGATCAAGGGCCCCCCAAAGTGGTATTATATAGATTATATATTATAGATAATGTGACTCGAGTCTAGACTGGACAAACTGCGTGACCGATTAATTATTCAAATAGTTTCGAGGGGCATTAGTATTAGGTAGATTATTCGCCAATCGCTGACGCATATTGCATCAGACTTTAACTTGGGTTTGCCCTTCGTTGTGAGAGGGGAACTCCCCCAATCTTCACGAGACTTCACCGGAACTCACCTCTTGATTTAATTTCTTTTTTCTGCTCTTCCGGTAAAAAATGTTTGCAAATTTCTCCCTAACTTTGGATAACTTTGGATCGCTTGCTATCGGCGGCGAATGGCTTGTCGTTATGTTATGAACGAATTTATCAGCTCTATGTTGTGGTGGCTCCTGGTCTGGGCTTTCTGGTTGAAGTTCTGGAGGAGATGGCTTAGCACTGACATAGGTCCGGCGCTGGATGCCGTCTTGGTAGCCGGGCAGCACAGTGTTTTTGGCGGAATCTTGGCAACAATTACAACTGCTGGTGCTGCTCCTGCTGCTGCTTCTTCTGGTGGCCTGCGAGAGCTGTAGGTCTGTGATTGAAGGAGGAGCCGGCTGCTGGTCAGTGGAGGACGTCCTGGTAACGTTGGGATTTGCGGAGGCTGGGAAACTGATGGGATCGTGCTGCGTAGCAATTTCAGATCGACTTTAGGGCGTAGCGAATGTCCAGTTGATGGCTTTGGCACATTTAGCAGAATCTCAGCGGAATCAGAGATCTCTCGTGGATTTGGATGTGGACTTGGACTTGGTCTTGGTCTTGGACTTGGTTTGGTTGTTGGCGCGACACTCGTTTGAATACGCACGGTTCATTACACTCGAGTCGAGGTGCGGTGTTTAAGCTGCGATCGCGGTTTCTGGTCTGGTGTTCGGTTCACGCAAGCGAGGATCGATATGGATCGATTGCTGACATGGGAATTTGGTGCTCAAAAATCCCATAGAGCAACTTTATATAGAGGCGCGGTGTTTGCTGTCGAGCCATTTCTCTGCCAACGTCGACGATCAGGTTCGAAGGCAACAGGTTCGCTGCGCCACTAGTACAACCACAGATCGCTGCTTCTCTTTCAACGTCGACGATCAGGTTTGAAGGCAACAGGTTCGCTGCGGCACTAATACAGTTACAGATCGCTTCGGGGTGGTGGTGTGCCTCTTTCTTCTGTCTCCGGCTCTTCCCCCCTCCACCGCACCCAGCCCCCACCCTGATCCCTGCTACGGGTGACAAGCGACCAGAATTCAATTACTTCGTTCCTCGTCTCGTAATTCTTTGTGCTACCGCCGACACCTGGGACAGTCCGGAACAAAATTGGATATTACCGGCCAAGGGTGAATGGAACAGTGTAGACTGCTTCAGCAGAGAACCCAACACTCTCCACTAGAGGAGACACTCTTCAGGGGCTTCTTTGGGTCAGGGAAATCTCTACAAACTAAGATTTATGGATTGTATATCTCAGAAAACCACTCTAACTATATATAATATGCAATTTCATAAAGGTTTAGGATCTTGTAAGAGAAGTTTGGTATAAAGACCTCTCCAAAACTCATTTTTATACCATTGCAGGGTATTATAATTTCAGTCAGAAGCTTGTAACTTTTAAAGGAATCATTTCCGACCCTATAAATTATATAAATTCTTGATCAGCATCAATAGCAGAATTGAACTAGCCATGTCTGGGAGTAAAATAAATTTTTAAAAAATTTCCTAAAATTTGAAAAAAACGATAAGGGGTTACATCATTAAAATTAGCTAAAATTGGCAAAAAGCTGAATTTTTTTAAATTAAAAATTGAGTATGCAGATTTATTAACCTTAGAAAAACTAGCACAGGAAAGCTTTCCGAACTGAAATTAGTGTATTTTTGACTAAGTTATGACAATTTTAGATTGTAATTTGTTCGAAAAAATAGTCATATAAAAATATTGATTAAAAATGCCGATATATTTTAAGCTTAGTTATAATAGATTTCCGATTCGATTCGTTAATTCAATCAACTTCCTCTTCCCAAATTCTATACCTCCCTTGTTAAAATTTAAAAAATCCCATTAAATATAACTTTGTAGAGGCTTTTGAATTTTCAAAAACAATTTTTCAGAGACCAAAAATTAATGGAAATTCTTGAATCAATTTCAATCAATTTACTTAATATTAAATCTAAAAAATCATCTATAATATAGTAAGCTTATAATCCTAACAAACCTCCCTCTTTAATCAAAATTAACCAAACCGAAGCAAGACTGTACCATAAATTTGATCTGCTGATTTCATTTCACAAATCTCAACGGTTTTAATTATTATTTTTTTGTTTTCTTCTTTTTTGAGGTTTCATTTTTACAAATACTGGATTTTTTATACCCATAACCAATCAGCCAAGTTAATAACCAACGGCAGGATCCATAACTCGAATCCACAGCCGGTTGACAGTGTAAGCAAAGCAGAATTCAAATGTCTGGCGGAGATCAGACCACTTCTTCGACTGGAGTCTTAGGGGGGGTCTTTTGGGGCTCGAGGGGCACACGGTTCCCCTGGCATGGTGCAAGGTTCCATTAGCCGCGACCGAGTCTCTGAGTCTCAGTCTGAGTCTGTGTTGGAGTCCGATTCCAAGCTCTGTGTCCGTCTTCCCATCTGATCTGTCCTTTCTGTCCGATCTCATTGCAATCAAGTGTGAGTGCCAGTTTGTCTGCGACGATCGTTGGTTGAATGGTTGGTCGGGCGGGGAGGGAGTGCGAGGAGGAGGAGGTACGGGGGGTGCGACACCACAAATTACACTGAGAGAAAATAAAGTCGGCAGTTCAGAGTACACATACGTACTTATATAGCACTGCAGTTTGCAATTAAATTATAAGATTGAACCCGAAATTAATCATAATTCATTTTAAATTATAAGCATACTTTGAATCAATATTTTTATACATTTTTTTCGAAATATCCAAATTTAAAAAACTCATAACTCAGTCAAAATTTTAATTTTTTAATTAATTTTTACTAGGTTAATAAATCTGCATACTCAATTTTAATTTAAAAAAATTCAATTTTTTCCAATTTTTGCAAATTTTAATGATGTAACCCCTTATCGTTTTTTCAAATTTTGGGAAAAATTTCAAAAATTTATTTTTTTACCGAACAAGGCTAGATCGATTCCGCTATTAATGCTGATCAAGAATATGTATGATTTATAGGATCGGAAATGGTTCCTTTTAAAGTTACAAGCTTCTGACTGAGATTATGATACCCTGAAAAGATATCAAAATAACAGTATTTCAAAGATTTCTAAGGTGCTCTTTAGCATCCCTTCTAGAGTATTCTTATACAGATTGGTCTCCCCCAAATTTCTTCAAGTGCATTATGATTGCCTGCCAGTGATCGCGAGTGTATGTTTCTGTGTGTGTTGTGTGTAATGGAAAGGGGGCTGCACTTGCGGTGTCAGAGGCGTCCAGAGGGGGTGGGGGTAGGTGCTGTCGTCGAAACTAGTCTGAGCTGGCATTGCCGGCCGGGAGCTTGGAACCGGGAACTTGGCGGAGCCGGAGGGCAGGAGGTGGAGCCAAAATGGCAGACAGACTGGCAGCCACATCGCGTGTTCGCTTTCCGTGCTGTTGCCGGGCGGCAGCCACTTTTGCGGTCAAGGGGAAGGGGGGAATAGACAGGGGCGGTTAATGAGGGGGAGACGGGAATTACACCCAGAGAAATGTTTAATAACTAGAGGAGAAAATAGCAACACAACAGATAATCAATATGGTTTTAATCTTGGATCAAAGGGAAACCTTTATCTAGACGGAATAGTTAAGATGCAAGAAGATATCCCTCAAATTTCAACTATTTAGACTTTAAGGTTAGCTTAAAACCTATTTTATGGAATTTAATTTCAATTTCGTTTAATTTTTCCTCATTCAAAAAGAACTGCTTTTCTCTTGGTGTTGGCAGACAGTTCCCGGCACCGCGACTAGTTTTCTTTCTTCGCTTTATCGACAAGCCACATCGACGGCGACAACTAGATTCAATTCTACGAGTAATTTATTTATTGCACGTTACACAAATCGTCCGAGTCCGACCGCAGCAGACGGGTTCCCGTGCTCCTCCCCTCGATCCCCAAACCGGTGGAAACACTTGGCAGCGGCATCGTTTGCAGCCACAAAGCGAAATTCAATTGAGAGGGAAAAAAGCAATATAAATAAAATAAAATCTTGCAGGTGCTTAAAATTGTGTCTCGTGCCGCTGCCTCCTCCTTGCTGCTCCCGCTCCCGGTCCCACTCCTGCTCCATTCCCCCGGGACACCACCGCTACCAGCCAGCGAGCTCCTCCTCGTCAGCCTTGGCCGGCACACCTCAAAGCGCTGGCAACGAAACGATACGATACAATACGAGAGTATCGTAACGCTGACGTAAGGGGCACTGAATTGAAATGGCCTTTTGGATGCCACTCGGGGAGCACTTTCTATAATAGAGACGATAGGAGACGATGGCAGGCCAGCGATCCGATCCGATCCGAATCCCCTCACGTAACACTTTGCCAGTTGTGACGCGGTCAGGGGTTGCACTTCCTAGATGACCGCACTACACACACACAGATTGCATCCGTAGTCTTTCAACCAAATTGAAGCCTTGATCAGACAGTTCGCATGGGTTAATTCAATCAAGTTAGAATTAAGTTTAAGGAAATGTGAAAAAACACTGAGGAATTGTAGGAAGACATATGGGAAAACTTCCACAAGGGACTCTTTGTGTGCTTAAGAGTGAAAATTGAAAGGATATTGATATGTCAATGGGTTAAGGATATCATATTTGCTTCTGCTGTTAAAGAACTTGAGAATTAAAAGAACTCTTTTGGTGAAGTACTATGATAAGTTCAAAGTATTTGATGGGATCTCCTTGATCTCTGATCTCTGATCTCTAATCTCTAATCTCTAATCTCTAATCTCTGATCTCTGATCTCTGATCTCTGATCTCTGATCTCTGATCTCTGATCTCTGATCTCTGATCTCTGATCTCTGATCTCTGATCTCTGATCTCTGATCTCTGATCTCTGATCTCTGATCTCTGATCTCTGATCTCTGATCTCTGATCTCTGATCTCTGATCTCTGATCTCTGATCTCAGATCTCTAATCTCTGATATCCCTGATCTCTGATCTCCCTGATCTCTGATATCCCTGATCTCTGATCTCCCCAATCTCCCTGAAATATATTGCATATAGATTTTAGATAACTAAATCTCATGAAACCCCACCTTGACTTCAACCCCTTTCTTTTTCCCAGTGTGATTTGTTGGCTTTTCGAAATGAGATCAGCTTGGAATCGGAATCGGAACCGTCTTAGCTTCGCTTGGCATACATATTCATGTGACCATCGACAAACCACATGGGTGATCGTCACCGGCCGGCACCAATATATGTTAGATAGATAGCCGTTCTTCGATCTCCGATTATCAACGCCCATTCGATCTCTCAGGTGGATGGCCCAGCGGCATTGTCATCGAAGTCTTTCGTGCGAAGCGTAGATTTATTGGTTCCATTTCCTAGAAACGATCGTGGCTGGTTTTCACCGCACACACACACACACACACACACACACATATATAGCACGGGCAGTGAAAGAGAGGTCGAGGTGAGGTGCCCCGTCACTCTTTTTTTCCATACTATATACATGCTATATGTAT